ATTATTCATCGATAATTATCATAAATATCACATCTCAAGGTGTGACATTCGCCTAAACGTCACGGAGTACTTTATGGTTGCAAAGTTGCGCGGGTATATAAAAAATAAAACTTGCACAGTTTTGAAAAACAAAGTATTTCCGAATTTACTCCAAGTTGTTTTTATTTTTTCTTGGCTTTAATCCGAAACCGAATATACACAAATTTCAAATAAATTACACAATAACATTACCAGTTTTTCTCTTCTACACGGTGACATAATTAGAATTTCAATCTGACGTTTCAGCTCTCATTTTTTTGAAATTATACCGTTTTCGGTGTCTTCATTATTACAGTTAAGTAATACAAATGAGTTACATTACGTTGTTCTTCATTCGAGAAGGTTAAGCCAACTATATGAAGTTACGCACTCGAAGATTTATATCATATATATCCACAACTTATCAGACAAATTTTAACCACATATGCACTGTTACGAAAGACGTTGATATCTCAAAAAAAATGTAATAAAACTCCTACAGAAATTAAGTTATAACCTGAGTTTCAATAATAAATCAAAAAATAAATATCTGTATCTTGCGTTCATCGTCGTGATATTAGAACACACATTAATAATTTATCGTAGCAAATGTTGTACCGAACAAATGACGAAAACAAAATACCAGGATTGTTTTGTTTTTCCTACCTGATAAGAATGTGTAAATAAGGTTTAATCTATATCGTGGGTGATTTGAATGAAGTATTTTGCGAGTTTATGTTTTAAGTTATTTATTAATAAAAATGGCACATGTGTACGTTAATGAGGAGTTAGTGCGGACATTGTCTTAGCGTACGGAGGAGCAGGGCAAAATTCGCGAGCGGCTTCTCGTTTGTATGCACACCGATTTCCGAATAGGCACATACCACATCACGAAACATTTAGCACAATTGTTTTACGTGCACGTGCTAGTGGAGATTTGCGCCCCAGACGTGGAGTGGATGGGAATCGGGTTCGCCCACAAAGCGTTTGAAATGCCGAACACGTAATTTTGGATATTGTGGAAGTAACTCCTCTGGACTTCTTTTTATGGGGATACTTGAAAAACGGGGTATACCGTACTCCAGTTCAGAATATTGAAGAATTGCGTGACCGAATCACAGTGGCTGCCGATAATTTGAGCCTTCAGGCACAGCAGGAAGAAGGTGTATTTGAATTAGTGCGCCGAAATTGGATTTTATAAGTAAGTGAACTCTTAAACTGTCTTATTTTATTATCTCGATTTCTGTAGGACTTTTATTACATTTTTTTTGAGAAATCAACTTCTTCCGTAACAGTGTATGTGTGGTTAAAATTTGTAGGATAAGTTGTGAAACACCCTGTATATATACTCTATTATATATATATATATATATATATATATATATATATATATTATAATAATGTATGACATGCTATAATATTTGAAATCAGAATTAAAAGCTATTCGTCTATGCAAAAATGACATGCATAAGACGTTGAGACGGGGGACAAGCGACCAAAAATCTTATTAATCTTCTATTTATGCCACCATGCAAAGATCAAAAAGTGGCAGTGTCAGTGTGCAGTTTATGTTAAAATCCTGTCTCGAATAAATTCAGGAAAAATTAAAAACGCCACAAAAAATGTGCCTACTATATATATACTTATATCTGGAAATTATTCTCGTATTTGAAAATTTTTCGTGATTACAGAACTTTCCTGGAATATTGACTTGACTGAAAAAATTAGCACTCTGTTTGAATTTTGAGGGGTATGTCCGTCCAAATCCGACAAATTTTTGTGAGATGGCAATGCCCTACATCAGAGTGATAAGTATTTTAATTTTAAAAATGATCCTTTCCAAACCGATCATTATCAAATAGATAGAAATAATCAGTATTATATTTATATTTGAAAGTATAAATAAGAAAAGTACTCACCATTGTATCACTAGAGAAACACAAACAAAACCATATAACGCTAATCCGTAAGCCGAAGACGCGTAAGAATAATCCCCAATCAAGGAATCTGTAGAAGATATTGCGAGATGCGCGAATTTGAGAGTAATAATAGCACAGTAGCCTCGTTGCGAATTGGAAGCCGCTATCAAATACTGGCATTCTACCACCACCTTTCTGTGTGTGAGTTTTAAAAATCCCGCCTTCCATTTTCTTCTTGATGCTCATCCTTGCCTATTCAAATTTCCCCCGCCCGGTACCACCATAGATCGACAGAACCACCGTGCGGAACGATAGAACTGGACTGCTAGTCAACGACAGCCAAACCTGTTTCGTCCAATCATTTGGTAGTTTTAGCTGGGATGCTTTGAGAAGTTTTCAAAAAGTTGATATTCTTATAAATTCCAACGTCCTGTACAACAGTTGTCATTTTACTACCTCGTATCTTTTCAATAAGTGCAGAACCCAAATAAACGGCTACTAAAAGGCTACTTTGCCACATTGCCATGCCTATGATAAAAATCCGGACAATTAAATTTATTGTAGCGTTTTTCTGAGTTCTTCTGGATTCCACAAAAAGAAATGCACTAATTTATTTAAAAGACAACACAACTAACTTTAACTCAACTAGATAGAACATGTACACCACTATTTATGTCTGACTACTTATTTACGAATTATTATGTCGCGCCATTTACTCAACTTTGCTTCCCTCTCCCGGCCGTCGGCTAATATATTCTGCATCGCATGTATTCGTTAGTTCGAAAAAGTTCCACATAGCGGCAGTCCAGAACCTTCGAGGTCACATCGCGTCTATCTCGAGGAGAGTCCCTGGCGCGGTTTCCAACAGATGTCGCTAGTAGTACCACTCGGTGTCAGTCTCGCATTGAGGGAGAGTCCCTTTCACGATTTCCAACAGATGGCGCTAATAGTACCATTCATTCTTGTTACATCATTGTTACATTATTTATAACATGCCTACTTCTAGCATTTATTTATCTGTGATCTAAAATTCATATTTCTCTTATATTTTAAGCAATATGTCGGGATAACACAAAATTAGAAGTTTTCCAAAAAATGATTCTAAAAACAATTCTCAAAAAACCAAAATTGATGTTTTATTCAAAGATATACACATACATACAGGGTGGCGCATCGAAAACGAAACAGACGCATTTACTGGCAGCTCAGACCCGTCGATTTTGTTTTCCAGGGAGACACAAGTTTGGCAAAAAATCACGTTAGCACGTGCAGCCCCTAAGCGGGGGTGACACCACCCCCAAAATCTTAAATGGAAAGGGGGGTCGAGTGATACCTTATTTTAAAGGTCTTTCAATTCCCTTTATAATGATATAAAATTATTGTACTTCAGTTCAGTAGTTTTGAAGATTTCTTGATTTAAAGCTTAAATAAAACTTATACATCATCATTAGTGAAGATCAATACATTTGGCAGCAAAGTAATTTAAAAACGAAGAATGAACTGACCCGTTAGGCAAGTAAATGTTGAAAATGGCCACCATGACTCTCCATGCAATAATAGAGATTTTGCTCAAAACGTTGCCGCACATTTTGCAATATTTGAGGAGTAATTTGAAGGCACTCATTCACAATGCTGTGTCGCAGGTCTTCTAATGATGAAATGAAGAAATACAAAGGTGATAAATCTGGCGATCTTGGGGGCCATTCAATGGCACCTCTTCTACCAATCCATCGATCTGGAAACGTCTGATCTAAATATTGTCGAACACGTAATGCGTAATGTGGTGGGGCACGCCATTGCTTTAACCTCTAGATTCTGGGATATTAGGTGACGAACACCAGTTTGTGGAGTAGTATCCCTTCATATAATACCTTACGCTTAGTTGCTTTGGTTTGGGTGCTACCCCGTCCATTTTCTTATGGGATTTTAATATTCACCGTGGGAATTCATTGCGGAAGATATCTTCGATGAAACCCAAGTAACGGAGAAAAACGACGGAGTTGTTTTCCAAAACAATACTGAATCACTGAGAAATAAAGATATAATACGTGTGAAATTATACCATCAATAAACTATGAAATTTACCAAAAGAAAATCATTGAAAAGGGTTTGGCATACGAATAGGCACTCTACCATTAATAAAGAGAAATTTAAATTACTAGTAAGTGATCAAAATTGAAAAAAAATCTCACCGTAAAAGACATATATTACGAGGAAGGGTTGTACCTAGACCTAACAAAACTGTAACACAGCGATCATATCTTTATTTTGGATCAGAATTATACGTAAATTTACCTGACAGTATAAAAAACCTACGCTTTGGAAATCATTTCAAAAAACAATTAAATGAATGGATATTTTCTTTAGCAAAGCTAGACATACACAAATTCCTAGTAAATGTAAAAAACATCAAATGATTCGTTGATTAGTTGCATCATTGTTTGTGTATTGATTCTTTGCACAATAGCAACATTAATAAATCATGTACGGGCAATGCTTTCTATGGATCATTGTTTCATATTTATTTATTCATTTTTCATTTTGTGTTTAAGGCTCAAATAAATATTATTTTATTATTATTATTTTAATTATTATTATTATTATTATTAGAATATTATTATTAAAATGCCTATTGCTTTTCTGCATGTATTGTGTGTCACAAAACTAATATTTCATGTGTGAGTATATATAATAAAGCTTCTCGTGATTTGTCACAGTAGAAAATGTCATTAAAATAATCCATGGAAGTTTTCGAATCATCTATTTAGGCAAAACCGAAGTAAATCCCTTATCGATGCCTTGAGAAAGCTTAGACAACCGATTACAAGCTTTGTTTTGTTACCTTCCTTGACTTAGTTCCAGAAAAAAAGGTATTCATAAATACCTTGAATACCTTACTACAAGACTGTTTGTACAAAAGCGACGAAGCTGGGTTAATGGAGCCCCGACGCAAAACTAAATTTTCAATCACATTCCAAACTGTTTCCACCTTTAATCATTTATCTCTAAAGAAACATTTCTCCGTTCTGGATGTTCTACACTAGAGCATTTGTCCTGGCTGCTCTTCACCTACCCATGAACATCTTCGTAATGTTGGCTAGCGGTACAGCTCTATAATAAATGGTTCGTTAGTGAAAGCTTACAAATAACGCCTCCCAACTAACTGGGCAGTCGCGTGTTGCCATGGCAAGCTTTTGTTTTGTCCTATGTCAGATTTGTTGTGTGAGGTTATGTCGTATCGATTTCGAGGGTGTTTTGTTTGTATTCATCTATTCACCTAAATAAACGAAATACGTGCAATGAATTTAGACGAAGACGTTGATTTCGTGACTAGTAAAAAGGTATAGTCATTGTTTTTATGAAAACTTTAATCTGTATTAAGTCATAAACAATTTTTAGTCAGCTGCCAAACAGGGTAGGAGAGCAAGTAGAACTTTGTTGACAGAAGAGGCAGTCGAGCTCGAGGACAATGATAATAGTGAAACTACTTCATCTTCAGGACCATTCAAAATGAGAAAAACTGCAGTTTGGAGCGAAGATGTACCCAAATCCTCCAAGTAAATTTTCTCTTGCTTCTTGTAAAAAATGTGTGGCAAATATATTTGGTTCTGATTTAGAAAGGCTGTCTTTAGCAACTGTTAGTAATACTTTTTTATTTTAGGGGCAAACCCGGGACTAACATCATAGAATTGTAAGTGTTATAGTAGAGGGATGGTAGAGTTAACTATTTATTCCAATGTATTTGCTATTTGTTTTAGGGAAAGGTTTCAAGGAGATAATAGAGACAATTGTAAGGAGGAAGATGATATTCCTGTCATTCCAGATATTGATGACCTGCAAGATGACCCATTGAACTTACCTGATGCTAAACCTGTGTAAGGATGCTTGATGCTTTAATCTTAAATAACCCAAATTCCAGTAATAATTTATATGTCTACAATCAAAGTAGCTGCTCTTTATAATTTAAAAAAAAATCCATAATTTATCTTATGACAGTTATGAAAATGTTATTGTATAGACACAAATTACTGCCATACATTTCATTAATGTTTTTGTTAATTTCAGAGTTTCAGTTGATAAATCAACCTACAAAGAGATAGATACACAGTTTGGCAAGTTCCAAACTGAACAAGTCAGCTTTGGAAACATAGGAGATATTGACCTATCATTCCTCACTAGTCAGCTGTTCCCTGAAAAGGAAGTACAGGTTCCTAACGAAGCTTGGACAGTGGATTCCCTATATAATGATTTATATCACTCCTCACATCATGAATAAATGTAAGATTACATCAAGTTTGGATGTTTGTTAATATGACATATGTTATTCTTTTGCTGGATTAAAAGATAATGCACTGTTGACAAAAAAACAATAAAACTGTATTATGCTAGGATGTAGCTTTTATTTTGCTTATGGGGCTATGATATGATCGTTTTTATCGTGTTCGTAGCCTATTTAAAACTAATGAAATTCGGTACGAAACTGCCTATATATATATATAGGTACTATAGTTATAAATGTACTTGAACAACAAAAAAATCGAACAATGTCCACGTTATTTCCAAAAGTCACTGGCTAAGGGCCGTATTGTCAGTCGTTCCACAATTTATAGGACGCCTGATTTTAATAGTTTTTTACTGTGAAGTGACAGCTGTCCACGCTTTTGATTTATATCATCAGTTGTATCAGCCTGAAATTCCTTGCATTCCAAAAAAAAAAAACATAGCCTCACAATAGGAGAACGCTGACGCTGACATGGAACAGTAAATATCTAGAAATAACCCAGCCTTTCTGAAGGAGAGAAAATACTATGAAAATCAAGGAGGCCATAAAAGCATCCTACAATTATTGTAGGATGCATTTATGGCCTCCTTTATTTTTTATAGTTTACTATTGTTCCGTGTCAGCGCTCTATGTTTGAGGTTATGTTACATATATATCTATTCACATCAAATTGTTCGTGCTTTTGATTTATATCATCTGTTTCTACAATTCAAAAAGAAAATATAGCCTCACACTATTAGAGCGCTGACGCTGACACGGAACAGTAGATATCTAGAAATACCCCAGACTTTCTTAAAGGGAGAAAATACTATGAAAATCAAGGAGGCCATAAAGGCGTCCTACAATTTGTAGGAACGACTGACTATATGGCGCTTATGTATTTTCGTTTTCTTATCTGTCCACGAAGCAGGACCGGTGTTCCACTTCTCTATTTCACGAACCTTTGGATGACATTTGTATACCTACAATTTCACTCACTAAGGCAGGGGTTTATTTTTCCTAGTGCCATAGCTCGGGGCTATGAAGGGGAAGTTTTTGCTTTTTTCCAGGAGCGGATCCTGGCGGGTGTCATGTGGGTTCGGATTCCCTGAAATTTTAAAATGTTTAACGTGTTTTTCAATTTGCAGACGACCCTTCCCCCACCCCAGCACTTTTTGGCGCGGGTAATTTCCAATTCATAATAAGTACACCTACCTATTTTCTAGATCTGCCACTGCTTTTGTCCGTTCCTTTATGGGGCAGCAAACCTTAAGAGGCCTGGGGCGCTGAATCTTAAAATATAGTACTGCACTATTGTTTGGTGAGGATATCCTCATTTTTACAGACAGTTTAAAATTCACATGAAACAACCGAAAGCGGATAATTTGCTAGAATCGGACTGGTAAGGTTAACGATTATTCACACTCACTCTTTTTATTAGTTAAAACTTAAGAAGAATACATTGCTATATTTCTTTCGTCAAGTGGTATCAAGATTTAGGTCACACCTCAATCAAATCATTTTGTGGGCAATTTAAAATCGAACTCACTAAAATTGAAGAGATTTTAAAAACGCACTCCTTTCTTCTCATATAAAAGTTACGAACGCAAAATGTGCAACACTCTCCTTCCACTAGAATTAACTTTTTCGGAAATTGTTAGACAATTAGGGAATTGACAAGGCATTGGCATTCCTGGATCCATTTCATTCCACATTAGACAAAGACCTTTTAAAACAACATACAAGGTTCGAAAAAATTTCAGTTTGTAGGCAACCAGTAGTACAAATAATCACTTGGGTGGAGTAACATTGGTTTTCGTTCCTGACCTATCGATGAAGTCACCGTCTCCGTAATAATAATGGGATCGTTCTGCCAACGTAAAAGCGGTCCAGGAGTGTAGGGCTTTCATGCTGAGTAGCAGTAGCCGTGAAATAGCTGTGTCATTTTGACAGCAGTTTTCACTTGGCCGTCAGATTTAGTACATAGTTTGTTGACTAATGAATGAACTAACATCAGAAACATATCGTTCTTTTCTTACTGATAGGACTCCATGATTGTCTGACCACTTAAAGAGCCCACATATGATTGAAATACTTTTTACTAAGGACATGCATAGGCATATCCGCAATAAAGGAACAAAAAAAGGAGGATTGGTAACCCAAGCGACATATCCATTATTGGAAATGTAATACACATACATTACTTTCTTTTGAAACCTAAAAAAAATATAATTTGAAAATGCTTCAAATTAAAACTAGATCCATACCACAAAAAGAGAAATGAAAGACACGCAAGTCGAGGAGTTTTTTGGACTTGACTTGACCTGGTGGCGTGAGTTGACAAGCCATTCCTAGGATTCACTACGTTAAGGATTTTGACTTAACGAAACAGAGTGGAACAAACCTAACGAAAAAAAGTCGGACGGACCTAACGAGAAAAAGTAGGTCAAACCTAACGAAAAAAGTGAGACAAACTTGACAAAAAAAGTGGAACCAACCAAACGAAAAAAAGTCGGACAAACCTAACGAAAAAAAGTGGGACAAACCTAACGGAAAAAAGTTGGTCAAACCTAACGAAAAACCTGCGATAAACCTAACGGAGAACTGGGACAAACCAAACTAAAAAAGGAGGACAAACCTAACAAAAAAGGTAGGACAAACCTAACAAAAAAAAAGTGGGACAAACGTAACGAAAAAAGGTGAGACAAACCTATCGATAAAAAGGGGGACAAGCCTTAAGAGAAAAATTGGGACAACCCTAACGAAAAACCTGGGATAAACCTACCGGAGAATTGGGACAAATCTAATGAAAAAAAGTAGGGCTAACCTAAAGAAAAAAACTGGACAAACGAAACGAAAAACCTGAGATAAACCTAGCGAAGAAGTGGGACAAACCTAACGAAAACAAGTAGGACAAGCCTGACGACAAGCGGTGGGACAAACCTAACAAAAAAAGTAGGGCTAACCTAACGAAAAAAGCTGAACAAACGTAACGAAAAGAAGTGGGACAAACCTAACAAAAAAATGATACAAACCTAAAGAAAAAAATGGAATAAACCCAACGAAAAATCTAAGACAGACCTAGCGGAGAAGTGGGACAAATCTAACAAAAAATTAGAACAAACCTAACGAAAAGAGTGGGACAAACCTAACGAAACAAAGTGGGACAAACGTAACGAAAAAAAGTAGGACTAACCTATCGAAAAACCTTTGATAAACCTACAGGAGAAGTGAGACAAACCTGTCAAAAAGATTAGGACAAACCTACCGTAATGAGTGGGACAAACCTAACGAAAAGATGTGGGACAAACCTAACTAAAAAAAGTGGGACAAACCTGGCGACAAGGAGTGGGACAAACCTAACCAAAAAGAGTGGGACAAACCTAACGAAAAGTGGATCAGGCCTAGCGAAAAAAGTGGGAGGAACTAAGGGAAAAAGGTGATACAACTCCTAACGGAAGAGTCAGGACAAACCAAACGAAGAAGGTGGGACTAACCTAACAAAAACGGGAAACAAAGCGATATGTATATTAATTCAAGATAGCATTCTTTGTGGGCAACTGGGCAACCAACAATACAAAAATGGTGGTGCTGACGGTATCCTTAGGTTTTGTGCGTGACTTATCGTTGAAGTCACCGCGATGTACAACAACGATTTTTATATGGGAATGACATTAATTATCAGAATATTGGTGTAGAAACAAAAATTTTAAGGGAACATGGTAGGCAATGTTTTGTGTTGTGAAAATCGGGAAACTGTAACGCCTCAATCACATTTTGTTGTTATGATGTTTGCTAGCATTGTTAATGATTTTAGGACATTTCTTATATATCCAGGTTAATAAAAAAGTAATAGATCCGATCCAAATTTTTTTGTATAAAAAATAACGATATTGTCCAATAAATATAAGATATCGAAAAAAGTATAAACTTGTGCTTTGGTTTTAACCAAACTTGAATTATATGAATATCTACAACAAATTTCCTATAAGTATACCTACTAGTCAAATGTATAAAATAGTATCAATTTATTGTCAAATAACATACTGATTTTTACAAGATTACGGATTTGTAGCCTTGGTTGATTTAGGATCCGTAACTTTGATTACATTTGTAAACGTTTCTTACATTTAATACGTTTAAAGTTTGCAGGAATAACATTATAAAATTTTGACCATAGAAAGTAGAATAATCATTGACTGATTTTATTTAGTCTGGGCATAAGCGCAGATATTTCCTTTAATCGCGTTTGGGTTGTGACAGAATGGAACAATTTTGGATTTTTTGTTGAATATATTATTATACTTGTATGACTATCATACATCGACCATAAGATTCGATAATGATCAGAAACATCGCTTAGGCAACCAGAGTTGCGCTGCCGCGTATCTAGAGCGGCATAGCTTCCGGTTCACGTTCGGGAACCATTTACTGCCATCTAGTAGCATTTAGACAACTTCGATGAAGTGCTGGAAAGCTTCTGGAATTTATCATTTGAAGTTAAGTATCCGCCAACTGGCGGAAGCAGACACAGTCGACACAAAACGACGGGGATGATGTAGTCCAATCGACAAGGTTATAAATTTGTCATGATGCTGTGATAAATTAATGTAAGGGTAATAAATTGTACCTTGAATAGTAAAAACGGTGTTTTCGTTACAGTATTTAATGCTACTTTGCTGCTAAAAAGTATCAATGCGAAATTCACTTGAAGGATGGATTTTTTCAATTTGCTAGCAAATACATGTAACTTTTATCTAAATAGGGCTTATTACAAGGTGTCCTTTGGGATGGTGACTCACTGTACTTTTCTATGGGTACCTACATCGTTGAATATAATACAAAAGCAACAACTCCAACAAACTTCCATTATTTGGACTCCCAGAGAAGCTTTGCAGATGGGGATTGGCCGCAAGATATAAGTCGTAATTGACGGGATTATCTACATTCCAACTACCTCCTTCCCGGCCATTGACTACCTTGCTAGGACTTAGGGTACTTTTTTATTTGGTTTTGGCATGTTTGATAGTCCTCCGCATCTGCTCAGAAAAATATTTTGATTCTGTCTTTTTCGCATCATTCAATCAGAAAGGGCCCCTGCATAAAGTCTAGTCATATTAGACGAAAGTATCCTAGTTTTCGAAATAATTGTAAAGTCTGCTATTTTTCCACAACAAAGAATGAGAAAACGTGTTTTTTGGGAGTCAATCGAAAGTGTTGACAGAAACGAAAAAACTATATAAGATTTTTAGGTATTTATGAGACATACAAAATGAGATAAC